GTGGGGACTAAACAATTACAAATTAGATATAGAAAGTACAATTAAACATACAAATATATATAGACGTAATTGAATATTTAGCTTATTGATTAATTCATAATCCTAAACATAAAAAATATAGTTTGAATTTTTCTTTTCTTAATTAAAAAAGAAACAAGTATATATAGACAAAGTAAATGATAATGTGAACGTTATTATCCATATCATCCAATATAAGTAGATATTTCATTTAAGATTTGCCAATTCAAATGCACGTGACAGACCATGCAAACAAACTAATCAACATTCCCCTTCAATACAATATTTTTTATTAGCCAAAAAAACAAACAGATTCCAACTAAAGATTCATTACCTATAAGTGCATATATGGAAGTAACAACTTTGTAACAGTATAACTATTCCCTTGTCTCACATGTAACATTTTTGTTCGATGTATTGCGATCAAATTTTTTAAAATTTAGTGCTATTATTCTATATATTCGATTTCTACCTTACAAGTATATTTCTTGTAAATTTAATCTATAAGAAATTCAATAGTAAAAATAAAGTCAAAATGGAAAAAGTTCTAAAGAAATTCAAAGTAGATAAGATTATTTATGAAACATAAGAAGTTAATTCCCATGCAGTTTCAAGGAAGTTTCATACATAAATTTGAAACAATCTTTCAAGTGATTAATTAAATTATACTATTAGTTATTTCCCTGGGTAACATTAAAATACTAATTTTGAGAAAGATCATTTAAAGTTTATAAGATAGGTGATGGGAGCTGGCTACCTTTTAATGTGTAGTCCAAGCACATTAAACGTTTATATGTATAAAAGCAATTTGTCATTAGTTATTTTCTAATAAGAGGTATGAAAAGGGAGAGAGAAAGTAGTCAAAACAATTTCTTCTTCTTCTTATTCTTATTTATTTTTTGGGGGTGAATGTATGAATTCGTTCGGTTAACCTTTTTCAACATAGGGCATTGAATTGACAGAACGATGCAGGTTAGGTTTAAAATCAGGGGCAATGGTCCGGCTAGGAAACAGTTGACCAACCCCCACCCAAAAGATTGCAAAGCTTGTCCCTATTTTTCCTTGTGTCACACCATATTTTCCCACATTGGACCCTTTATCTCAATAATAAAAAAAAGAAGCATAAAACTGATTAAATATTTCATTTCATGATTCAATCCTAGTGTTGATGATCTGATGATGATGGGGGATGCATGTGTAGCTATATTTATATAGAAGTCTTCTAGTTATATCCATTGATTGGTACACATGTATTTTTCTGCTTGAATTTCCCACATGCCGACTTTCACCTTTCTCATCTTTCCTCCTTTCCCTTTTTGACAGACAACCAATTTTTTTAAGCATGAAATCTTCCAGCTTTTTCAATGTTTTTTCCTTTCTTTATCTCTAGTCTTTTTCTTTCCAAAAGAAAATGCAATTTTGGCAACAAGAGACAAGCAGGAGCAAGCAAAGAGTTCCATCATAACAAAATTGGAATACTGTAGAAAAGAAAGAACACAAAGATAAAAATAAAAGGACAACCATTCCATGCCCACTTCTTACATACAATCTTCTCATCATCACAATCATCAATTAATATAATATATTCACCAAAGAGAAGAAAAAGAGAGAGAGAGAGAGAGAGAGAGAATATTCAATTAAGAAAGGCATAGAAGTCTTGGGGTTTTTAGTTTTGACGTGATGTGTGCCACTTTCATGTGTTTGCGATCCCATAGATTCCATTAAGGGAACATATATATAGATCAGTACGGCAATGTACTAGGATAAACAAAACTATACTTAATGATATAAATTGAGAATGTATACATAAATATTTTGGGTCTATTTTTGTTGCTGTTGTTGTTGTTGTTTTTGAAGCATAGATGGAGTTCACAGGAACTTAATTAACCTAAGAAATGTTTCAAACTGAAGGCAATTTTTTTTGGGGGGCCTGGGAAAGGGTGACAAAAAAAATGAGGTCAGTGTCAAGCTAGGCATGGTGGGAATTAGCTTGGCTTGAAGATTCTGATATATGACGAATATAAACTTTTTTTAACCAATGTTTCGTTAATCAAATCATTACATGAAGGCTGAAGCATCAAATTATGGATGTTAATATTATAAAATAATAAGGCGTGCGGCAAAAAACAAACGTGAGAGCAAATTGGCATTTTTCCATGACTGAAGACTATCCATAAAACCAGCTACCCCATTTTGTATGGCAAGAAAAGGACCTTGTCACTTTCTGATGGTACCATGCAAAAATTCACTGAAAAAAATAAGAAAGGTACGTGTCTAAACTTTCAATGATCAATTTGTTTACAAGTTTAAGTTCACATGCATTCCTGCGTTGTTATACATGGGTTTAATAAGTTTTTGCAATCCTTTTCTTTTTTCTTGGCTCTTTCAACTGAATAGACCCCCAAAATTGGGTGACAAAAGACTTCTCAGAACTGTACTGCATTTGCATCTGTTTCTAGCAACAGAAGCATCAGGGGCAGTCAAGTGCAGTCAAAAGAATTAGATAGTTTTAAATAGAGGGAGAAAAAGTTTTTGACGTCTCAGCCAATGGGAAAACTGAGAGAGAGTAGAAGTTGAACCTTTTATTGCTCAAGGAAGAGACTGGCCACATGGGTACGCTTCAGGTGGAGTTTTGAGCATGCTTTTTATGGAATCAGGGAAGGGAAGCTTTCAGTAGCAGTGAAACCCAAAGTTAATGATCTCTACCTGACATATAAAAGTGAAAAGTTTCTCCCCCCCCACCGAGTTTTCATGGAAGAATACTAGGAACTAGCAGTGTGTATTCATATATATATATATATATATATATAGAATTACTTTGGTAATAATTAAGACTGCTGATGATTTTGATTTCATCAGAGAATGACAGCTGATTCACTAAAGCTCATCAATTCAAACCCCCTTTTTTTTTTTAAATATAAATATAAATGAATCTATATTTATAGCGCCCACAACGACCAATAAAGCCATGTTTACCTGACGATGAAACAAAAATGTGTCGTGGTTGAAAAACCAGTCCTATTAACATCATAAAACTCAAAAAAGACTGTCACTACTCACTCTTATACTAGTACTATAATTGTTACTGATGGTGATGGCAAGGTTTCCTTGACAATGTGGCTCATCAGACACAGAAAAAGATTGGGTAGATATTGCACTTCGGAGTTAATTAAATAGCTCCCCTAGTATCTTCTTGGATTTCATTCTTCAATCAAGGTCAACCTCTCTTATCCCTTTTATATAAATTAATTAATTATTACTAGTAAATTATTTTTTTGCTATATTGCTGCCCGACACTTTCAGGTTTCTAGTTTCTTTGGTTTTTAGTAACCCCTCGGAGCCCCTGGAAAGGGCTGCTTAGGAAGGTGAAGACAGAATATGAAAAATAAAAATAAATAAAACTTTAAAGTCAAAAAGTAGCTAATAGACAGATATAGCAGATAGAGTGCCCTTTATGTAATTTTCTACAATTTTGCTAATGAGAAACTCAGGTAGGACCTACACGGTTGGGAACACTTGATTCAAATTCACAAATACATTGCATTTGATTGGGACCCCACTCTTTTTGTTTTGCTTCCATAGATCAAACTATTTACTTTTGGGTAGCATCCACAGGTTTTTCTTTTTCTTTATTATTATTATATTTCAAATGCAGATAAACAATGGGTTTTCTTTAAATTTTGTAAATATAGAAATATAGGTAGTATTTTGTACAGGTACTAGTATTTGTTTCATTTTCTATTTAACTTTTTTACAAGCATTAAAGTAGGTGTCTTACGGTGGTTGGTTCTGTGTTCCTTGGCCATTTAATTGCTTTATCTTCAAACTCTGGCATCCAACCACAAAAAATAGCCCTAAAAATCATGAAAAAAAAAATTCAGGAAAAGGACAAAGAGATATTTAATGTTGATTTGAGGAGTAGGGCCCTCCATCCTCTCTGTTCATCATCATCATTATGATGATGATGGTGATCATTTCTTGCTTTATTATTTTTATAATTTTCTTTTCTTGATCAAGCTGCGGTGTGGAAGGAGACGTTTCCTCGTTTTTCAGCCGTTTGTAATTTTGTGGCACACTTGGAAAAATTTCATTGTTATATATTTTGGTTTTGTGAAAGGCTTGGCTTTTATATATCATATCAGAAACCATCTATCTCTCTTTCTCTTCCTTTGACAGAAATAAAAAAGAAAAAAAGAAAAGAAAAGGTGGTGTGTAGAGCTGATCAAAGTTGCTTGGGTGCATCAAATGATTTGAAAAGGGGGGGTCAAATCAGAGAAGTTCCCTTGTTTTGATCTAGTCGCAGGTACTTGGTTAAAAAGCCGTAAAAGAGAAAGCTAGACAAACGGAAGGGGTGGGTTCCTGATCTGTGAAGGATTACAACCCTTCACAGTTGCTCTACAGAAAGCTCAAGAAAAAACATGTACAAGTACTACTACTACTCCTACTACATATCTTCCCACTTTGCTTGAAAGAGAAATATATTTTTCTCTCAAAAAATTAACAAGAGAAAAAAAAAATTGGGAATTATAAAAGTTCGAAGAAAATGGTCGTAAATCTGTGGATAATGAAGTGAATAAAGATGGGTATCTTTTTCTCAGCCTTTTTAACCCCATCTCTCTCTTTCCCTGCTTTTTCCCCTTTTCTCTGAAGGGAGTTGCAGAGGCCAGAGATTTTGAGTCTGACAAATTAAGGACTAGCTTTCTCTCTAGTGTGAAGGGATTTGATAAGATGATAAATTCATAGATAGATCATACTCAAACAGGTGGGTATGGAGTGGTGGCTCTTTCTCTTTCTCTTGTATTATGGTGTTTTAGCTATTAACTATGGATGCTTTTCCTTCTCAATTTTTGCTGGTTTTGGTTTTTTTTTTTTTTTTTT